TGGCAGTGAGCCAAAATCACACCAGTGCACTGCATTCTAGCCTGGGTGACACAGCAAGACTGTCTCAAAAAAAAAAAAGGAAAAGAAAATACTTTGACTTCCATTATCTACCCAAATTATAAGGGAGAGGAATCATTTAAACAGTAATTCTGATGCCTTAGTACAAAATAAAACAACTGTATATTGGCCCTCCATCTATGTCCTTGTTGATCTAAGAAGAGGGATGCTGTAGGGTAACCAAGATAGAATTTTTTTTTTCCTTTTTTTTTTAACTTATATTTTTGTTGTGGGGGTACATGTAAACATTGTTACATAGGTAAATTTGTGTCATGGGGTTTTGTTGTACAGATTATTTCATCACCGAGGTATTAAGCCTAGTATCCAATAGTTATCTTTTCTCCTTCTCTCCCTCTTTTCACCCTCCACCCCCAAGTAGACCTCAGTGTCTGTTCCCTTCTTTGTGTTCATGTGTTCTCATCGTTCAGCTCCCACTTATAAGTGAGAACATGTGGTATTTGATTTTCTGTTCCTGCATTAGTTTGCTGAGGACAGTGGCCCCCAGTTCCATCTGTGTTCCTGCAAAAGACATGACCTCATTATTTTTTATGGCTGCATGATATCCCATGGTATATATGTACTGCATTTTCTGTATCCAGTCTGTCATTGATGGACATTTAGGTTAACTGCATGTCTTTGCTATTGTGAATAGTGCTGCAGTGTACATTTGCATGCATGTGTCCTTACGGTGGAGTGATTTATATTGCTCTGGGTATATGCCCAGTAATGGGATTGCTGGGTTGAATGGTAGTTTTGCTTTTAGCGCAAAGATAGAATGTTACTAATATATGTTCTCGTGAACTAGGAGATTTAAGTCTTTAATTCTATATCTAACTCAGTCTAGTAAACACTAGATATTAAAAATGTATAGGGCCCTAGACTGTGCTTTTGGGATACAAACATGAATTGGGATACTCTAGTCAGACAAATACAGAATGGTGTAATAAGTGCTATCATTTCTATAAAGAAATAAGTACACATTGATGTAAAAGCATAGAGGAGTGAGTGATCGATTATGCCCAGGAAGTTTGGAGATTAATATGTGAACTCAGTGTTTCGATGGACACATAATATTTTGCCAGGCCAAGAAGTAGAAGTTCCAACACCTAGAAATAATAAATACTTGAGGTGATGGATACTCAAATACTCTGACATGATTATTACACTTGCTCCATATGTAAGATGTCTCACATGTACCCCATAAAAGTATACAAATATGTATCAATAAAAAAGTGTTCAAAAAAAAAAAAAAGAAATATGGGACTGTCAGTCAAAAGGAACAGTGTCATCAAAGTCTGGTGTATTCAGGAACAGCAAGGGTTGGGTAGGGGTGGGGCAGGTAAGACAGGGGAGAACAGAAGATGGTTAGAAAAGTATAACAAATAATTCTTAGGGGCTAGCTCAAAAGTTGTCTTATATGACCATTGAAGGATTCTCTGTAAGCTATAAGATCCTATTAGCCACCATGTCTGGATATTGAATTGTCACCATCTCTGCAGTTGTAAAGAATTATTGCTTTATCATTTTAATTATTTTATTTTTATTTGCATTTTACTCTTGCTGATTCCTCATCATTTTGCTCCATGGCAGTCTGTGTCTGTGTGGAGTGTTGCAGGACGAATGGAAATGACTGTTTCCAAGTTCATGGCAATTCAGCAGGCCCTTCAGCCAGATTGGTTCCAGTGCCTCTCCGATGGAGAAGTGTCTTGTAAGGAAGCAGCTTCCATAAAAAGGGTCAGAAAGTCTGTTGACCGATCACTTCTTTTCTTGGATAACTGTCTGCGGCTGCAGGAAGAGTCAGAGGTAATTCTGTACCACTAACTACTCCTTTCTCTTGACACTCTTGCCTCCCTTACATTCTGTGACACCACCTTTTCTGTTCCTCCTACTACTGTGCTCCTCACTCTTTGTCTGTTTTACTCTCTATTTTTATTTGCTTTTTGAACCCCAAGTATTATTGTTCTCTAGGATTCTATCTTAGGTTTCTTTTTTCATCCTATTCTGTATGTTATTCCTGGGCAGCCTTCCCTTAGTTTTAATTGCTGAATAATTCTAAAACTATATAAACTATCAAGATCATTCTACTTAGCTTAAGAATTACATAATTACTGGGCTATAGGTAGGATATGTCACTAGAATATTCCTCATACTCAGAAGTGACCGGACTCATCATCTTATCTCCACAAGTCTGTTCTTCCTTTTGCTCTTCCTCAATATTTTATCTCCATTTATGGCATCCACCAAGCTCCCCAGCCCAGAAATTTGAGCTTTTCTGTTTCTTTTTTGAGTCTCACTCTGTTGCCCAGGCTGGAGCGTAGTGGCGCGATCTCAACTCACTGCAACCTCTGCCTCCCAGGTTCAAGGGATTCTCCGACTTCAGCCTCCTGCATAGCTGGTATTGCAGGCATGCACCATCATACCCAGCTAATTTTTGTATTTTTAGTAGAGATGGGGTTTCACCATGTTGGCCAGGCTGGTCTCAAACTTTTGATTTCAGGTGATCCGCCCGCCTGAACCTCCCAAAGTGCTGGGATTACAGGCGTGAGCCACTGTGCCTGGCCAAGAAATTTGAGCTTTTCAAGACTCCTTTTTTCACTCACATTTAATATCCAACTGTTCACTCTTCCTTGATTCCATTTGCCTAAATGTGTCTAGAATCTCCCCCTCCTTATCACCACCTTAAGCCATAAGTGCATCATCTCTTACGTTTGTAATTACCTTTGAATTCTTCTCTCTGCCTCCATTCTCATCTTTATCCAATCCATCTTTCAGCCCTGTTATCCAAAAAATCTTTGTAAAGTACAAACATGAGCTCCTTGCCCACTTCCCTAAAAGAATTTAATGAGTCTCCACTTCAGCTCTTACATGGCATGGACAGCCTGCTGTGATGTGGCCTCTGCCTACTCCTCCAGCTCACTGTGGGCTACTTTCTCCTGTGACTTGCGCTCTGGCCTTTCTGAGTTGCTTGGAATTCCTTGAGGCATTAGCTTGTTTCATTCTGTACACAGATTTCCTTCTGGACTGTTTCTGCTTTTCTTATCTCTAGCTCTATTCCCTCTTTTGCTTCCACATAGGCTCGTTTCATTCCGTGTATCATTCTTTTTTTTTTTTTTTTTTTTTTTTCTTTGAGACACAGTCTTACTCTGTTGCCCAGGCTAGAGAGCAGTGGGGCAGTTTTGGCTCACTGCAACCTCCACCTCCCAGGTTCAAGCAATTCTCCTGCCTCAGCCTCCCAAGTAGCGGGGGTTACAGGAATGCACCACCATGTCTGGCTAATTTTTGTATCTTTAGCTTATTTTTAGCTGAGACGAGGTTTCACCATGTTGGTCAGACTGGTCTTGAACTTCTGATCTCAGGTGATCCACCCGCCTTGGCCTCCCAGAGTGCCACCTTTCATTCTATAGAACTGGTTCCTGATACTTCCAGGGAATTCAATTCATTCTTTGCTACCTCTTTAATTAGTATGTAGCTATATTTTAGCCCCAATCATATTGTATTTCAATGATTTCTTTATGTGTTTGTCTTTATTAAACTGTGGCCTCTTTAAGCTCAATTTCTGTGTGTAATTGGGTATCTTCATCATGCAGCAGAATGCCCTCCCTGTCTTATTCGCTGGCTCATCTTATTCTGAATGCCCTTCAGTATTGAAGCTCTCCAAGATTCGGCTTTTGGCTTTCTTTTCTTCTCCATATATTACCTGGGTTAGGGATGGTGAATGAGTTTCATCCGACACATAGTAAGCCCTTGGTAAATGTTTGCTCATGGTGAATGGTAATGATGGGGTGAGGAAGATGAAGCTGTAGTGGTAAATCAGGGATACTGACAGCAGAGTTAATTAAGTTGGAAAAGGATTAAGAGAACAGTAGAGATGAGGGAACAGAAGATAGTGATCAAAGGAATTTTAATATCTGAGATCATGTATGTGGATAATCCTGAGCGATGATCACATCCCACTATGGCAAAGCACATTGAGTTTGAAGAACATCATTGTATTGAATTTAGCAATAAAAATACAATTTAGCTAATAAAGTTAATATAAATGAAATAATTAGAGGAAACAGTTATTCTGAATAGAATTCACAGTATATGTAACAGGAGTTTGGTGTGGGGACATTGCTGTGGGTCTGGGCAGTTAGTGTTGGTGGCTTGCTAGTAATTGTTTTGAGCCAGTCATTATCTTTGTAGGACTAGTGATGTTTGGGTAAGTAGAAAGCAGGACAGGGAGTATGACAAAGATGATTATTAGAAAGGTCAGATGAGCCTCAAGTCCCTCATCTATGTTGTTGCAATCAGCCTCATCATTTCATATTACTTCTGCATATTTGTGGGGGTTTTTTTTGTTTCGTTTGTTTTTTTGAGATGGAGTTTTGTTCTTGTCGCCCAGGCTGGAGTGCAGTGGTGCAATCTTGGCTCACTGCAACTTCTCTCTCCCAGGTTCAAGCAATTCCTCCTGCCTCAACTTCCTCAGTAGCTAAGACTACAGGTGCACGCCACCACACCTGGCTAATTTTTGTATTTTTAGTAGAGATGGGGTTTCACTATGTTGGCCAGGCTGGTCTCGAACCCCTGACTTTGTGATTTGCCTCCCAAAGTGCTGGGATTATAGACATGAGTCACCGCGCCCGGCCTTACTTCTGCATATTTATTGGTCAAATGTGTAGTCCCTTTCCATATCCTTTATTATTGTCTTGACATGATTATTAAATAATGCCCCCCACATTCTTAAGTGTTCCATTTTAGATAATAAATTATATGATCGTGCTTCTTACACCCAGGAAAGGGAGTTTCCCAAATAGTCATGCTAGTCATGTAAGCAGGCAGGCCTGTGTAACTCTCTGCTTTGTGTATCTGCATACATCTTTTCCCATGATTCCCTCCCTGTCTTATTCACTGGCTCCTCTTATTCTGAATGCCCTTCAATATTGAAGCTCTCCAAGATTCAATTTTTGGCTTTCTTTTCTTTTCCATATATTACCTGGGTTAGGGATGGCGAATGGGTTTCATCCGAGGTGGTCGGGTGCAGCAAGAAGACAGTCATCTGTGAGTCACATCTGCTGTCAAATCAGGAGTGGAGAGTTGTAGTATCATGGCAGGTGTCTGCCATTCTAGCCTGGGCAATCATGTTTGTATCACTCATGTTTGTATCACCCATACCTTTAGGTTCATTTAGGTTCAGTGGCTGAATTAAGATTGCCATTTGGACATCCTGCTGATTCCTCAAACTCAGAACACGCAGAACGGAGTAATCATCTTGCCTCATCCATTATTTTTCTAGGAGTCCCTGCCTTTTGCTCTTATCACCATCTCCCTGGACTTGCAAAACAGGAGCCAGGAGTCATTTGAGACTTTGTCTTTATCCTCTGCTTGGATGACTAATCAGTCAAGTTATGTTGATCCTACTTCCTGATGAGGTTTCAAGTTTTATCTTTCCTCTTCATCCACACGGCCACTGCCTTAGTCCAGGTCATCTCATCTTTCACCTGGATCATTAAAGTTGTCTGCTATTCCATTCTTCAATCATACTCACCCTTAATTTATTCTTCACATGGCAGCCAAAGTGTTCTTTCTGGAGGAATAGTCTGATTATGTCCCTCCTGCTTAAACTAGGGAGTGAAATTCTCTCCTCACAGTGTTCCAGGCCTCCTCTCTATCCCTTTCTTCTACTGGAGAGCCATTGTTGATTTGTATATTTTCTTGCAAAACTTATTTTTTGCAATTACATACACATAATTAATACATAGATATACATGGCTGTATTACATGAGTATGATCATATATTCAGCAATTTGCTTGTTTTTCATTTAACAATATCCTGAAACTCTTTTTCTATCGCTGCATATGTTGCTATATGTACTGCATTCTTTTTAAACAGCTGCATAGGAAGCCATACTGTGTATATACTATGATTTACATAAGCCTTTCCTCTATGGATACACACGTAAGTTGTTGCCAGTTTTTCATTATTCTAAACATCTTTGTAAATAAACCTTGGCACATGTGAATGAGTATAGGAGAGATTGTTAGACATGGAATTTTAGGATCCATAGATAAAAGCATCGACATTTCTATAAGTGCTGCCCACTTTCCTTCCTAAGAGGTTGAACTGATTTTTCTCTGTGTTTATCAGGGTATGTAAGTGTCATTTCCCTTACAGTTTCACTTCTACTCTGTTGTTATCTGTGTTTTAACCTTTTTGTTATTATATGGACAAAAATGGTATCTCGTTGTTTCCGATTTTGCATTACCTTACTAACGAGGTTTAGTAGTTCTTCATATGTGTATAGGGCATTCACATTTATTTTTTTGAATTTCATATTTACATATTGTACCTAGATTTCTATGAGGTTATCATTCATTTCTTTAGAGGATTTGTTGGAGCTCATTTTATGCTGTAGATATTTAAATATTCCTCCAAAGAGTAAGAGTAAGTTCTCCTTTGCCTTTGTTGATGGTGTATTTTACTAGAGAAGTTTTACTGATTTTTTTTTTTTTTTTTTTTTTTTTTTTTGAGACAGACCCTTGCCCTGTCATCCAGGCTGGAGTGCAGTGGCCCGATCTCGGCTCAGCGCAAGCTCCTCCTCCTGGGCTCAAGCGATTCTCCCACTTCAGCCTCCTGAGTAGCTGGGACCACAGATGCATGCCACCACATCCGGCTAATTTTCGTATTTTTAGTAGAGATGGGGTTTTGCAATGTTGGCCAGGCTGGTCTTAAACTCCTGACCTCAGATGATCCACCCGCTTTGGGCTCCCAAAGTGCTGGGATTACAGATGTGATCCGCCATGCCTGGCAAGTTTTTGTACTCAAACTTGTCAACCTTTTCCTGTAAGCTTTAGCTTGTTTAGGAAGGCCTTCCTTACCCCAAGATTGTAAAAATATTCAACATATTCTTCTAAAAGTTGTGTAACTATATTTTTTATGTTTAGCTATTAGGTCCATTGAATTTGTGTTGTGAGGATGGTGTGTAGTAGTGGTCTTTATTTTGTTGGTTTGTGAGTGGATAGTCAGTTGTCTCAACAGTTTCTGAGTTTCTAAAGTTATCTCTAGCTAAGAGGCTTGGAGGTAGTCTAAAGCAGGCCTGGATAGTCATTACACAAATTAAAACTCTTCATTTGTCCTTTTCCTCTTGTCCCTGTTTAGTGTACACTTTATTTATTTATTTACATTTTTTTACTGAAACAAGGTCTCACTCTGTTACCCTGGATGGAATGCAGTGGCACAGTTTCAGCTTACTGCAACCTTCGCCTCCCGGGCTCAAGCCATCCTCCCACCTCAGCCTCCCGAATAGCTGGGACTACAGACACAAGCCACCATGCCCAGCTAATTTTGTTTTTTTTTATTTTTTGTAGAGACGAGGTCTCCCTGTATTGCCCAGGCTGGTCTTAAAATCCTGGGTTCAAGAGATCCACATGCCTTGGCCTCCCAAAGTGCTGGGATTATAGACATGAGTCACCGCGCCCGGCCTTACTTCTGCATATTTATTGGTCAAATGTGTAGTCCCTTTCCATATCC